GCTTAACCGACTGCGCCACCCAGGCGCCCCATAAATAAGTAAAATTTAAAAAGAAAAAGAAAAACAGAGAACCTTGACGCTGGAACCAGCAAAGATACTATGGGAAAGAGAAGCTTCAAGTTGATCTCACTCATGAACAGAAGATGTGAAAAAATCCAAAGCAAAGCCTTAGCAAACTGAACCCACCAGTATCTACAAAAGATGATCCACCATAAAGAAGTTACATTTATCCTTGGAGAATGAAGCTGGATTCACATTTAAAAAATACAGGTCGAAGGGGGCATGAGAGAGGTTTTTGTATCGGTAATATATTCTGTTGCTTGCTCTAGGTGCTAACGGAGTGTGTATGTTTAATTTTTGAAAACTTATTAAGATACACACTTATGGTTTTGTCCTCTTGTGATTATAAACTTCACTACAGATTTTGAAAAAAGCATCTGCAAATAACAGTCACTGTATTAACAGACTGTTAAACAGACTCTTGAACATTTCAATAGAGACAGAAAAGTAAAATTCGATATTGATTCATGTTTTAAGACAAACTTATGAAATTAGAAATATAAGGGAAGCTCCTTAAACCTATAAAGAGAAAGAAAGAAAGAAAGAAAGAAAGAAAGAAAGAAAGAAAAGAAAGAAAGAAAGAGAAGGAAAGAGAAAAAAGAAAGAAGGAAGAGAAAAAGGAAGAAGAAAAGAAAGGGAGAAAAGAAGAAGAAAGCAGGGAAGGAAGGAAGGAAAGAAGGGAGGACAGAAGAAAGGAGGTAGGGAGGAAGGAAGGAAAGAAAACAGTGGAACACAACGAATACATTTTAATATGGAAATGTTAACCCAAAGGGGTCCAATTTTGCCATGTCTGTTCCACTTGTAGTGGACGTCCTAGCCAGTCAGTAAAGGTTTAAGAAACCTGTAAGTTGATTACTGTACTTCTCTTACTCAAAGATTCACAGAAACCTGCAGACGCCTAAAGACAAATTATTAGATATCACAGAGTTTAACACGGTGGCTGACCTTAAGGTCAATACAGTTTTTAAAAATCAAATGGATTTCTATAAATTAGATACAATTAGAAAATGTCATTTTAAACAGATATCAAGTACAAGAGCAACAATACTCTAGAGTATCTTGGGATATATGCCATAAAAGATGTACAAGATCTGAATGTAGAAAAGATAAACCTAAATAGTAAACTAAAATATTAAAACATTAAAGAAGACCCTCATAAATGGAGAGACATGCCATGTTGGTGACTAGGAAGGCTGGGTGTCATAAATACAGGCAATTCTCCCCTAGCTGATCCATAGATTTAATGAAAATGCAACCCAAATGTGTTGCAAATGAATTTTCAAGGAACATGACATGTTGATTCCAATATTTATACTGGAAGGGCAAAAGGTGAAGAATACGAAAGATACGCCTGAAGATTATGAATAAGATGTGGGGACTTTCCCTACCACACATAGATCAAGATGTCCTGTCAAGAGGTAAAAATTAAGATGGTGGAGTATTGGCACAGGAATAGACAAATTTATCTATGGAACAGACAGGGAGCTCAGAAGCCGAGACATGCAAAGGTGGACCAAAATGACTCCAGGCACATCCAAATGTTCCTCGGGGGTGCAGGATGCCCCACTGATTAAGAATCCCTGACATAGGAATATGGATGAATCTTAAAAACACACGCTGGATTTTGTAAAAGTAAATTACAGAATACCAAGGACATGAGTTAAAACTGCACGCGCATGTAGTATGTCACATCCAAGGAGAGAAAAGTCTGGGAAACAAGGTTTGGGGGAATGCAAAGCTCCACCTCACTTCAGGAGTTACTCACTGGCGGGCTTGGTAAAGCCAGCACGCGGAGAAGTGGGAGGACGGTAAGGGGGCGGGGCTTTGGTGGGTGAGTTCCGTTGGAACTCGAAGCTCATTGGTCGCTGGCCACAGATGTGGGAGGAGCAAGGCAGCGCTGGAAACTCATTGGCCTTTGTGCGAAGGGCGAGAAAGGGAGAGAGAAGTGGTCTTCCCTCCCACCTCCTGTCACTGCGGCTGGAGGCTGAGGTAACCACAGGCTGGCATCAGGAATACGACCCTCGTTCTCCACACATCTTCTTTCCTCCCTCCCTCCTGCTCTGGATCACCAACCCCTGGTCCTCTCCTCCACCTCAGTGGGGTCCCTCTGCCCGCTCCTGATGTCCAACTCAGTCACCCGCACCCCCACCCCCACCCCCACCCAACAACATTGGAACGCCTGGGGGAGGATCCCCTGCCTCAGACCCTTGACTCCTGGCCTCTGGAACCTGAGGCAGGGCATATGCCCCTGCCTTTGATTTTGATGTGGTAGTGGCAGCGAATGACTGGGCTGCCTTGAGACGGGGTAGTACACCCTGGGTTTGGGGGACAGGGAAGGTGTACCCAAGCATAACTGTTGAAGCGTGAAGAGGATCATGGGAGATTGTCAGGAGGCTGTGGAGGGAATACATGGGTTTGAATGAAAGCAGAGAGGGTGTGTTGGTGGAAGAAAACAATTAGTGCAGCGAGGAGTTGTCTGTTGACCGGATCAGGGTCTGGCATTCCATAGGGGGCCCAACAAGGATCTAGTCAATGACTAATCAAAGGGATGAATAAAACATAATTATCGAAAGAGGGGCTTGGGATTCAGCAACATAATATAATCTCATGGGGTGCAAAGGGGTGTCCGATTAAAGGGGGAAAAAGAGAATAATTAAGATTACAGTGGGGTGCAGAAGAAGATCAGAATGGGGTGTGAGAGGAAATTTGAACGTAGGATGTACATGAGACTAATAACAGAATTGAGTTCAGGAGCCATAGAGTCATGAGTAGGGAGTGAGTGAATGTGGGAGGTTAGGAAGACAACGGTGGAAGCGAATGCCAGGAAAAATAGGTATAGCAGAGTAGAGGATGACACATGAGAAGGGGAGGGCAGGAATTGTTGAAGGGGGCACAAGAGTGAATGTATATGCCTGAAAATGGGATCTATGTAGAGTGAAGGTAGGCAAAGAGAATGATGATTGGATTGAAAGTTGACAGGAACCATGCCATGAGTTGCTTGGAACGAGGCTTTGCGTGAGTAGGGCCTCCTGGGCAGGAGGCTGTGTGAGCAAGAAGGGTGGGTGCGATCCAATTTCAGCGGTGAGCTGGATGAAGAAGAATCCAGGCACCTCAGGTGGGGATTTTGAAGGGCAGAGGAAGTATGCTGAGGGTAGGGGATCATGTGGCCATCCTGACATCCACTCCTGGCCCTAGAACCATGGATCCCAATGAAATGCCTGCTGTGCCCTGCTGCCCCTCCGACTCCCCCACTGGCCTTGAGACCAGAGCCCCATGGGGGATCGAACTTGGCCCCAAAAGGACTGTAAGTTGCTGTGCCCGCTGCTACAACCATGGCCTCAATGACCAAACCAAGGACCAGGAGCACTCCTGCCCCTTCCAGGCTTGTGAATGTCACAAGTGTGCCTTCTTCTCGTGAGTATGGTGTCTGACAGTGGGGGTGGGGAGGGGGCCTCCTCTAAATGTGACTGACTGTAGACTGGCAATCCCCCACTTTAGGGATCCCTGCAGAGTCTTGCCTGCTGAGAGTGCCTTGAAGAGGGAGCAGGGGGCATGCCTAAAGAGGCACCTGACTCAAGGACTGATAACGAGTGGGGCCTCCCCTCCCAAAGCTCACAGCCATGTCCAGAAGTTGACCATTCAAGAAGAAGTCGTCAGTGAGTGTTTCTGGTCAGGGAGGGCGTCTTGGGTTTGGGTGTAGAGAGCACGAGCAGTGCTGCCACCAGTCCTACTACCCAATTTCGATGTGGCCTTGGCAAGTTACTCCTCAGGGTTTTAGCTGCCCCACCTATAAAACTTTATCAATATGATCTACCAAGTGTTGGTGGGAAGGGGCAATCGGGGTGAGGGGTGGGGGGTGGGGGGTGGGGGTGGAAATGGTTCTCGGTGAGATGAGACCTCAGATTGGAGGTGAAGTAGAGTGGGGGTGGAGTGAGGTGGGGTGGGTTCAGGGGGGAAAGGCTCATCTAAAGTGTCCTCAGCTTTCCACAGCTGGGAAGGAGAACATCATGTCCCAGCTTGAGGCCCACCCCTGTGCACCACCCCCCCCCCCAGGGAAGTAAGGAGAGTCTGAGGGCTGTGAGGAGGTTCCCATCTCAGCCACTGCCCAGACTCTTTTGTCTGTGTCCTGAAGACATGGGTTCCCTCTCTAACCCTACTGCAGCCTGCCATATGACTTTGGGGAAATAATACTCCTCCTTGGACCTCAATTTCCCCGGTTGGAAAATAAAGAGCAGGAACTGGCTGGTCCTCAAGGTCTTCTCAGCTCTGACTGACATTCAGGGCTACTGAATAGCTCTGACATTCTGGGCTACTATCCTCATCACACAACATACCCATGTCTCCTCTCCATGGCTGGCCTGGTGCTGACACTCCACCCTGTCCTCTCGGCTCCTGCAGGCGAGCACCCAAGGAGGTCTGCTGATTGGTCAGGCCCCAAAATCTTTGTCTCTATCTTGGACTCCAGCAGCCTTGAAGATGCAACTCACAACTTCTCTTTCCAGGAAGACCCACAGGACCCCTGCCCTGTCCAGCATGTGCGTAGAGTGAGAAGGACCACGGAGCTAGTTGTATATTGTGTTATTGCATGCCTGGCCTTTGTGCTTGATGCCGTGGGAGATACAAGGAGGAAGTGGAGGTGGCGACCGATGAGCAGCCAGAAGGAGGGGGAGGAGAGGAGAAGGACGAGAAGTGGGAGGAGGAGGAGGTGGTGGTGGAGGAGCAGGAGGAGGGGAGGAGGAGGCAGCATCTCAGACTAGTGGGGAAGGGCAGGATTCTCCCAGCCTTGCCATTTCCTATTTGTGAGAATATGGCCATTTCCAAGCCTCCATTTCCCTAGCAGTGTACTGATGGGGACAATATCATAAACCTATAGCATTGACAAGAGGACTAGGCCACGTTGTGCCACAACGTGGCACATTCCTTCAACGAATGGAGGCTGTTAGTCCTCCATTCAGATGGAGGAAACAGATTGATGGGAAAGAAGGTCCTGCTGAAAGGAGGGCCATGGTGGTGAGGGCCACAGAGCCCAGGGGGGAGTCCAGAGGCCCTTAGAGAAAGCTTCCTGGAGATGAGCCAGGCTGGTCCTTCAAGTTCCATGGGGACTGAGGAATATGGAAGTGAGAACCAGTCCCTGGACAGGACAGTAATCACATCTCTTCAGGTGCCTTGCAGATTAAAATGCAGACACCTGTGATTTCCTACACCCGTCACTGTTGCCCCGAGAGTTTTGAAACTGCTGGCAGGAATGAGTGTCTCAAGAAAGATATACAAGAAAGACATAGAAAGGAAACCAGGCCAAACAGGGGAAAGGACTTGCACAAGCCACAACGACTAATGGCCAGCAGGCACTCAGATTCCCACATCCAGATATTGCAAAATCCTGGCCCTGTTTGTCTACTGGCAGTATGTGTCTGCCAGAGGGTTTGATCCCCTGGCCTCTCCTTCCTTGTTTCTAGATGCTCAACTCTGGTCCTCCAGCCGTGTGCCACCCTTGACCCTGTCCTCACTGCGGCCACAGATCCTGGAAAATAGTGGGGTCCAGGACCCTGGCAGGGGCCAAGCTTAGTGCATGGGAAGGGCAGATGGCCTCAGGGTGGGTGGGGCCTTCAGCGGAACCGGGGGCTGAAGGGACAATTGCAGGATGTAGGGAGGCATGGGTTTTCAGTTCCTGTCCTCTCACACCCTTTCCATTGCAGGGTCCTGAGGCTTCTGACCAGGACTCAGTTTCTGCCTCCTCAGAGTGGCAGCGGAAGCTGGAAGCCGCTGAGGCTCTGCTGATGCTGAGAAACTCTTCTCAGACATCTTCTGGCTCCATCTCCCTGCTCCAGCCCTGCGTGGCAGCAGGTAGCCTGGTCCTTGAAAGGAGAGCACAGCACGGGGTGGGGATGGTTGGGAAATGGGACGGCGCTGTGGTAAGTAGGGCCTATCTGGGAGGTCTGGGTTGGTGGGTTGAACCTCCTTGGGCCTGGGGAACCCAAGCTCCTCAGCCTGATGTCGGAGATGGCAGGTGATGGTTGCTCAGTGAATCGTCAGAGCTCTGTGCTCATCAGGAAATGCCCAGTGCATTTGGTGTCAAGAAACAAGGAAACTGAGGCCCAGAGAGTGGCAGGGACTTGCCCTGAGGCATGCAGCATATCAAGTGGCACGCCCAGGTCTCCTCACTCCCATCCCAGAGCTTTCTAGTCTGACCCCTGCAATCTGTTGTGGTGGGCAGGATATACATAGGTGATAAGAGCCTAGGCTGGAGGGAGATCTGGTCTCTGCCTCCAGTCTACATGTGGAGCCTGGATGCCTTCACTAGTTGTGTTTTGTGGCTAAATTTCAATGTTGAGCCTGGAGAGGAAGGATCAGAGGAGCGATAGAATCCTGGGAAGGTTGAGAGGGAAGGCTGGGCACTCCCAGACCAAAATGCTGGATGGGGTGTGGTGTGTGAGTGAAGCAGCAACCTTAGAGGAACTGCTGGAACAGAAAGGGATGAGGCTGGGGAGGCTACTGGTCACCCAGGTCTAGAATGCCAGGCCTAGGGGCTAGACCAGAAACTGTGGGTGGTGAGGAGCCCGGGAATGTCTGAGCTAGAGAGGAGTATATTCAATTATCCCGGGCTTGACAAAAGAAAAAAAAAAAAGATATGTGGTGACTTTGATGGAGAGATTGGAGGAGGCAAGACCCAAGATGAACACATCAGCGAGGAAGAGTTCTGTGCTGTAGTCCAGGTGACAAAGCCTCGATTGGGTGGAACAAAAAAGAGGGGAGAGCCAGGAGGGGAAACGGATGTGATGTGGGTCTGATGCCTTCCTTTCTATCTGCAGCTCCTGCTGGAGATGAAGGACCCCAGCCTTCTAGCTCCTCTCTCCGACCCAGGCCAGCCAGCTCCGTTTCTCTGCCTATTGGACATCTGGGGTTTATCTCCCTCTTGAGCTAGAAACCCAGAAGAGGAGGCCTCACCAGAGTACTTCCTATTCATGCATTTGCAAAATGTTTAAAGTCCAAAATGCTTAACATGTTTGTTTTTTTAACCTCTAGGTTCTTTCATAAGCTTTTCAGACTCTTTTTATGATATGGGACAATTCCTTGGCTGAGAGTGGATATTCTTGTACCACCATCCCTTAATGCCTAGATTCTGGGGCCTTTTTATGTCTCTTATGAAAACAGCGTCATGGGGTCTAAGCTGATCAGTCTCTAAATAGGGTTCTGTGGGAGGTCATATGTTCATATGCCAGAGTTTTCATTTGACTCGTGATTGCAAACATACCCATGCACTCATGCATGTATGCATGCTTGTCAAAATATAAGGGTGTTTTCATTTTGTGTCTAGGTTTGTGTGTGTGAACAAATAATAAATTCTCGTTGTTGTAAGGCACTGCGATATAGGAGTTGTTTGCTACCACAGTATAACGTAGACTCTCCTGACTCTAACAGACTTGTTCAGTTTACTTTTCTAAGTGAGAATCACCTTACTCAATAACTGGGCTTTCTTAGCATGACAAGACAAGAAAATGGTAGCGAAAAAAGGGGGAGATGGTGAGGGGGGTAAGGGTTTTACTCATTTAGCAAGGAAGTGCCTACCTTCTGCCTGGCATAGACTGCTTCCAGCTGTCCAGAGGGCCCCAAATTGGGTTGTCTTCAGGGTCAAGCAGGTCTTGCGAATGAACAGAGCAGGACTGATAGGCTCTGGCCAACTGACAGTGCATGCTCTACCTTAGGGGCCAGCTGCCACCTGGCTCCAGCCAATTGTTGTCATGTAGGGATGTGGACTCTTCATTGCCACATCTCCTGATTTTTCAAGAGAAGATGGAATTCTAGATTTCTATGTCAAATATCTCAATTTTAAAACACTGGCTCTGGTTTCCTGTACGTGGGCCAAAGAAAACATCCATTCAGGCCAACTATGGCCAAGTGAATGCCAGTTCGATTCTAGTCGAATGTGTATTTTACAGTGGGGGGCACTGAAGGCAACCAGGGCCAGAAGAATCAAAGAGGGGACATGAATTAGACCCAGAGCCTACTTTTGAAGGACCCATGAAATATGAGGAAGAATCATTATCATTGATTTTGTGCCCACTGTATGCTAAACACATAGAGCCTCACAGCAGCTCTCTGAGCTAAGCATTATTACCAGTCTTTTACCTATGAGGACACACACTATATGAGTACAAGTAACTTGCACAAGTGTTTTAGGGGAAATTTGTAGCCACAGATGGATAGAGCAAGACTCCACTCTCTTTGCCAGGCCCTAAATTAGCTAATAATTTTATAAATTTTAAAGACTAAATTCTATAAAGTAGCAATTACATTACCTGCATTATATTTAAGACAATCATAACACATACTCATCAATCTCTCATTACTTTTCCTACATCCTGATAGTATATCTATGTACATATACCATTGAGTGAAAGGCTCAAAACTTGAAGCAGCAGACATCCAGTGAGAAGAGTCTTCCAAAAATAGTTCTTTTGTCTCCTATTCAATGTAACAATATGTAGTAGTGGATCAGATCTTATGTGCACTGAGATCAGATCTCGGTCCTCTGCTGATGTTCCAAACAAAGAAGGACCTGGAGACCCCGCCCAGAAGACGGAAAGCTCCACTGGATATGCCCAGTCGCTGACTATTTCCCATTGTGTTTTCTCCCTCCTCCCATGCCTCCTTCATTTTTACCCAAGACGATTGATGGTGATGACATCTGATAACAACTTACGCTTTCTTGTTTCAGGCCTTGAGAAGTCAGGCTTCTTATATTCCTTATCTCATGCCAGATAAACATGCAAGGTCACTCAGCACATAGGGCAAGACTGATGTCCATCTCATGCTTTCCTTCCTTCCCTGATTTGCTACTTAAATCAGTGATCCCGAGACCCCTCCTCGCCCAGTATTAGATAAACAAGGCCACACTGTCACAGAGGAAGGAAGCAGTGTTGCCTGGAAAAGGCCCAAAACCCTGCTATGCAGTTGTGTCCTAGGTGCACCACGGTCCCACAGCTGAGTTGGTAAAGGAGAAAGTGTATTTGGGGTTAAAAGTTGTGGCATGAGAAGAAGGAAGAAAAGAGAAATAAGGTGATGGAGATTGGGAGAAGGAGTCAGCCCCCCTTCCCTGTACCCTTTCACTTTTCTGAGTCCCACCTGCCCTTCTACACAGAGCCTCTTAGACCTGATATCCATGCATCCTCCCCCGCACCCCACAAATGCACGCGTGCAAGCACATGCGTGTACGTACACTGCCCTATACCTTTTTTAAAAAGTCTCTTAACGGTGGCATATTATGGGCATCTTAGGACTTTGTCACAAATATCAAATATCCAGCCTTTTTTTTTTTTCATGAACCATCCTTAGTCATGTACTACTCCAGTTCACAGATTTAAAACATCACTTTGTAAGGTAGTGTACGTTAGATCTTGACTCTCATGTGTTTTACAACAGCACCAGTCGGATCTGAGGATATCCACCACGTCTGCAGATCTGCAGCATCTGCAGAGTGCATCAGTTTCAACCAGTGGTATGCATGCAAATGTGTAACAACAGGCTCTCTGGGGAAGGGGGTGGGTTGGGGGAAATGCCCTGTGTTGTAGCATTTGCCAATTTCACGCTACTGACCTCATGTCAATTAACGCAGAGTTGGGAAAGGATGCATTTCCACCATTCTGATGCAATAAATGTACATAACCTCAAGATGTGGGAAAAGTGATTAGAGGCTGATGAGTTTTGAGTATGTATTATGATTGTTTTCAATATAATGCAGGTAATGTAATTGCTACCTTATAGAATTTAGTCTTTAAAACATCTGTGTTCAACAGCTGGCTCGCAAAATTCCCGAACAGTTAAGTTTGCTCTCATGTTCCAGTAAGAGCCCCCTCCAGCATTCCACTACTTTCAACCCTTGCCCAGAAAGGCACCTCTCCCCAAAGCAGGTCACACAAACACTACAGGGCCATAAAGGCCTGATACCTCTGGTTTCTGAGCAAGAACAGCTTAACGGGTAGGACAAGTATTAATTGATAATAAAAAAAAAATGGAATGATCTGGAGCAAATATTGAGCAATTGGTCAAAAGTGTTTGTGGGTGAA